TTTCAACATGTTGACAAGTCTAAGGAAAAACAACAAAGCGCAATGATTCCTGGTCAACGATTTTGTTGCCATTTTGAATATGGTATATTTCTGTAGTTCAGGTTCTTGTATCGATGAAGCACCTGGCTGCAACTTGGGAAACGCGATCATTTGTCAGAGTAAAAACTTAGAAGCATTTGCAAAGGTGAGCAAAAGCATTTATATAAATGACCTGATAATTACTGCCAGTTAACATTTTCTGTACTGATTACTTCTAAAGAAATACTGCAAGAAGACGTGCGGATATTGCAACGATGGAACGACCACCACATCTCCAAGCCCATTCAATCGTGTGACATCGGGTGAGTACTTTTAATCGACAGTACTTTTAAAATAGCAAATGAAGCAAACTTGGCAAGAATTCAAGAAAAAACTTCATAAGCTCCTGTTTCTAGAAGTAATGAATGTCTTAGAATTGGTCTTGGTTCCTCCTTTGTCTCATATAGAGCGATGAACTCTCCCCACTGTTGCCGATTCAGCGCAATAACTGCTTCTCCATCTCTGAAAGGTCCTTGAGAAGCACACCTTCTATCCCCTGTCAAATGTACTTCGCCACGTGTTTCTGGGACGGCCTCCTGATCGCTTGGCTTCCAGAGACATCCAGTACATGACCATTTTCAGAATGAATGTATTATTTGAGTACGAAATGGTTCGAAGCCCCTTTCAATCCATTACTTATAGTAGTGGATCGAAAGGGGCTCCGAGCCATTTCTGGAAGGGCTGAAGTGGCAAGCTCTAAATCACATAGGCTGAAGTGGAATCTTCATAGTTTCTCACGGTTTCGTGGCAACAGAGCTTCTTTTATGAACGTTGAAAAAACGAAGTGAGTTCATCGGCTAAGATATTCTCATTTATGTGCCGGAAGGTTTGGTGGGAAACCTACCGTACCCATCTTATGCAAGTTGATGTTTGCTCTTCGTGATAGTTTGGCCTGATTTCCGCCCATTCTGAAGAGTCTAAGAAAAGAGCTAAGAGAAGGGTATATTTCTATCTCTATTTTGCATCCATTTATTCGCCTTGCGATGAAACATAGCATAGCCTAACACCAACAATAGGAAATGCGCAAAGGATCAGACACCATGTTTTCTTGTTTCAGGTGCTGGATGTGGAACGAATCCAAAGTAACTTTTGCTCTTTCTACATAATGGATTCAGGTTTTATTTCTGCCATTATACCTCCAACGTTTTGAATGAGATCCGCTCTGACACACATGACTTGTCTCCCTTTGATATCTCAAAAATTTTGACGATGTCCTTAGTTCCGCTATGAACCATTGTTCTTGGTAGCATGGGCATGCAGTCCTCTTTGCGAATTGTGGGTAGAATGGATAAAGGGGTAACGGAACTTCTCCCCGATCGCGGCATTCTCCCTTGCGGCATGCGGCAAATGTCACTGCAACTACCGCACTTCCCCCGCCTCCCAGCTAATCGATAGGACGCGGAATTTTTGTTAATTGCCCTTCTTTTTTACTAGATTTGAACGTTTTTTCTATTTCTTTTTCATTTTTGTGTTTATTAGACTTGATTGATTAGGATGACTCGTCCTATGTAAGCGACGATCAAGACTGCACTGAAATTGAAAGAGCGGTCAGCCAATTCAAATAATTGAAGGACTCCCTACCTCAGAAATTGCTCGCTCCAATCTGCCATCGCAATCCTGCGATACGCGGCGGGTGCGGGCGTGCGCGACGCCGCTTTCGGGGAGAAGTCACCGGACCTGGATAAAGTAGTGCACGTTCACTATGGAATCAGCTGTTTGGGTCTGGACAGATTTCGTCTTTAGCAAGGGGAACATTACTATGAAATTACTGGTCGATTTCTAGATTTACTTCATTCGCTATATCCCCAATTGTTCTGCTTTCAGTTGTCAGAGCTGGATTCGAAATGGATTCTGTACGAGCACATTCTACTCTGCCGCGCAGAAAAGGCAGTATTGTGGACGAGCATGTGGTCTTTGTTAGAAACAGAATCCTCTGAGGGCAACGTTTCTTCGATTTCCCAATGTGAATCATCACATGATGTGGATGTATATTTTGTAATATTTTGAGAATTAGTCATTTTTGGGACTAATACAAGTGTCCTGCTGTTTGTAGGTTTCTGAATATATAGTTATTTTCTATTGTGCTAACTAATCGAGGTCTGAGGCCTACTGCAATTTAACAATCTTTCTAGTGACTTTTCAGAAACGTAGTGGCAAATGAATGTGCATTTGGCTTTCATAATAAATAAAATCTTTAATACATGCCAGTGCATTTGTCCTCCTCTCTAGGCAGTCGGTTTCTGAACAGCCGATACAGAACGGGTCGGGTGGAAGGCCTGGTTGACCCGGACGGGAGCCGGTCTCGTAAGATGAGAAACTAGGGTGGTACTGCGGGCTATCACTACTTCATCTCCGAGTTTCTACTGGGCTGAATGCTCTGAAATGAACATCGTCTTCAATGGCCGGTCTGACAGTGTCATAGTGCCTTGTAAAATGTCCAAGCGCTGACTGCCTTTTTCATCGTTTCCCTTGGATGGAGAAAGCCCGGACCAGCCAGGATTATCATGCATACTGAATCAGAGAGAGTGGAAAATTACGCAGACCTACCTCCACCTACCTACTGAAGTGAATGTGTTACAAATTCCAAGAGTTGGACCTTCGGAGGGATGATGGCTAACTGCTTATTTTTATTTTGAACCACGAAAATGTACCATATAGTGGGTGAAATCCTTGATCCCAAGTATCTCACTGGCTCTCGAGCCAGTGCCTTATTTCGAACTTCAAATATTCAGTAAATAAACTGTTTATAAAACCTGTGCCTTGATAGAACATAATTTACTGCAATAGGAAAGATCCATGATGGCAAATTGGCTTTGAAACACTCCAATGAACAGCTCTGTTGTGGTTCATGCTAGGTTGATGAAACGATTATGTTCCTCTGATCTCAGTATCTCTGTTGTGACGCGATGCTGTAAGAGTTAGAAATTGCTTACAATTGTAGTAGACACAGCGTATACCAGATACCGTTCTTTGTAGAGTGGATTCGTTGGAAAAATTCACTGCATAGTGGCATCGTAAAAAAAAGAGTTGAAATTGAGACATGTTACCTTGGGTTTATAGCATTGACTGCCAAAGGAAGTGACAACTACTCTCGTGGAAGTAAAAGCTCATTTTGTTACGATACTTGTGAAATAATGACCTCATGCTGTTTATTTTCAAGCGTAGCGGAAGTAAAACTGTATTATTGTGTTGGCTTCTGCTTGCCGTCGAAATGTCAACCTGTAAAGGCTTTTATACAGACCTTGTGAAGCACCTTGTGGCACCAGACTTTTGAAAGCCGAATCGTATCGATGTTTTCAATGCTGTATCATCGAATGCCTCAAGTATGCACTTTTGTCTTGCACTTCATTGTCTTCCATTCTGTAGAGGTTCGAAAAAGCAGCAGTAAATAGAGGCGAAGCAATTGGAGCCTCACCCTGGAGTATGACACTAAAGTAGATGTACAGAAGCGGCCAAAAGTCTTCGGTAAAACGCTTTTCCATTCGTAACTTTTTTCTAGTAGAGGGATTCAAGAAAAAANAAAAAAGTCAAACCTTACCTTAAAATGAACCAGTCTATACTTTTTGGCTTCAAAACGGGGGGATCAGATGGCTACGCGTAGAGGTTATACAGCAGAAGCGATTTTTCCTGATTGCGAGTTTAGCGATAATTGCATTTTTTTGCATCCCTTTTGTGCCCGAGTTAGTACTTGTACACTCAAGGCATGCATAGAAGGGCTATAGTCACTCAGAGAGTTCGGCTGGCAGCAGCAGGCACGAAGGAATCGGGCATGGAAGTCACGGTCACGTCAAGAATTTTGAAGGACCCACAGAAGACGATTTCTTCGATTGTCCCATCTAGCAGGTCAGAAACATTTTTGCAGTGCTTAGAGAACGAAAAGACTCCGATGCGCTTTATCAGTCCAGGACAGACGGATCACACTTCGGTCGAGGGCCGATCCTCGCCTCACTGCGGCTGACAGGGCCGCTAAGTTCAGCGCTTGCGGCACCATTACTTGCCGGCAGACTGTAGGAAGTCCCCTAATTAGTGCTGGTATATATGGGAGGCAGCCAACAAAAAGCCGTTCATCAGTCCAAAGGTAGGAGAGCTAGAGTGGAGTTTGCGCCCTGTCACCTCAGCTGGACGTCGATTGAATGCAGTAGAGTTCCTCCTACTGATCAGCTCAAATTCAATTAGTTGGGAAGCGATGGTATACGCTGCGGACGACGTCTATCTGAGGAAAGGTTCAATGCAAATACACCCTATCCGCAACTAACCATGGTGGAGGATGTGTGATGCTATACGGTTCCTTCTCCTCGACCGGAATGGGCCCTATTTTGAAAACTGACGGCCTGATGACAGTGAAGTACTACAAAAACATGACGACGACATCGTCTTGCCATGGGCACAGCACCACTGCCAGCAGGATAGATACTGCAGCCAGAGTAATGATCCGAAACACTTTTCAATAGTTGCGGAAGCGGCCTTTAGCGAACAGGGAACCTCACTTCTGGACAGGTAAAGCCACTCAACAGATCTGAAACCAGACAGCACATGTGGGTAGAGCTCAAAAGGCGTTTTTCGAGTAAACTTCGTGAAAACAACGAAGAAAAATTCGCTTAGTAAGCGAACAAGGTAACGCCATGCTAGTGTCTACCACTCGGAAACTAATCGACTCGATATCTTCCCATTGCGATGCTATCATCAAAAGTCGAGGCTTTCCTACCGAATATCGATGATGTATCCACTCAACGTGAACAATAGCGAATTGCAGTACAATAGCAGTAGGTAGTGATTTTATGAAGTAGGAAAAAAGTTACAATTGAAAAAGCGTTTCACCGAAGACTTTTGGCCGCTACTGTACATAAAAGATCATGAATCTAATCAGTATCAGAATGACATCATGGAGCTTTTGCCTGTAAAATGTAAACAAAATCACAAAGAATTTTTTTCTGAACGTCATGGCAGTGGTGTGAAAAACTTGTATGTCAACCGTACTACTTTGTGCAAGCCTAATACTTTTTCAAAACTGTTGGAATGAAAGAGTTAGTACATATAAAAGCCCATTCTCCGCATGTTTGTCACAGCGTTTCCACCTTTTTCTACTAAACCATTCGCCTAATCGTAAATCTTTCAGCTACACTCATGCTTCTTTTTCTGATAATTTCATGTCTCCTCCCAGGAGTCACGGAGGGGGGAATCACGGATTTGAATTGCACGCACAGAGTTGGTGCTGATATTAAGGTTTGTGGTATAATTTCACCATATAAGGTGCACAGTAAACTTTCAGAAGCAGTATTACTAAAATTATGCACGGCAATAAATCCAGTACCACAAAGGAACTTGCGTGAGAAGTACTCCGTCCGCTTAGCAGGGAGAAGAAAACGCTAAAACAACGACCGGGATTATGAGTTAATGTGTTTCCCTCCTGACCCCTCAACCCCACCCCCTCTCCCCCTTTTAGCCTACTTAACCGCCTTTTTCTATTCTAAGCGTGGACATCAGTTTTGATGGACGAGTTTCCAGTAATGCCAAGCTTGGCTGCGATTTCCCATTTCCTTTTACTGTAGTAGACCTCTAACTTCTGCGGTAGGGCTAACTTCTGCGAGCTTACTCTGACATACATGCCAAAGAGCCTAGGCTTTCGTGATCGGTAACAAAGACATGAACCGAATCACTTTTGGCAATTCTGAACTGCCTTTCAGTTTTAAACGGTGAACCTTTTCAGGCCACATATTAGTTCTGGCTTTAATGTGCGCCAAAAAGAGTATCTAACTAGGTTGTTATGAATCCAATAAGCATAAGGACCTCACAGTCGGTAATGGAAGCTGGTGTCACCTTATATGGGACTGCTACAATGAGAAAAATTTTATATGAAACTGCCAGTGGAGTAGAGAATCTTGAACGAGTTACCCTTTTCAATCGACGGTCTTTCAGTATTCCCAATCGGCAGTGAACTGTAACAACAAGATTTCTGACGCTGCCTGTCTCGTCATCTACACCGAAGCGGTGAAAGCGGAAGGCGGTGACGATCGAAATGAAAAATGTAGAGGAGATCCTGTAGTAAGTTATCTGACGACCCAATAGGCGAGACTTTACGTTTGGACCCCTCTATCCCGTGTATACGCCAACTAAGAAAGGGTTTCTTTTCAAATTAATGTTCAGCTGCTCCGATTGTCTTTAGTGACTTAACTCAGGCCAACTTCTGCTTGTTAATGACAGCGATTCGTTTTTGATCTGGTTACCTCGCCCTGCTATGGAGATGTTAGATGAAAAAAGGAGTTGACCCAGAGACAGAAAGCTAATTCCTTCAAAAGAGAGGGCATATCTGTGGTCAGTTAATGGGGGGTGAGGAATCCCCCATTAACCGACCGATAGGGCAGCACGCGGAGCACTTCGAGGTACTGTTACGGTTGATGTACAGGTGCAGAGAGCGTACCTTCCACACAAGCGAAGATGTCTGAAGAGAATGAGTTTCATTGTATTCAGAATCCGGCGCTGGTTCAAGCGGCAATAGATATTTGTCCCAAGACGTGTGGGTACTGCTGTCTGACACCCGCCTTTTTGTGTGAAAACAAATTACGTAAGTTTAACAGAGACCTTGATTCATATGAAAAAAAGCCAGGTTTCGTTTTGCGCCATCCAACACTAAGACGTGTTTGGGAAAAATCCTAATTCATTTTTTGAAACAATGTTACACAGCCTATTTCTAACATCCATGAACTCCGTTGAGTTATCAATTGCTTTCCCAGAGCCACGAATCCCATGCTCATCAGTGACACAGGATATGTGTGAAAATCCGGCATGGAGAAGTATTCTTGAGGAGGATTGCCCCAAAACCTGCGGTTTCTGTAATTCAGGTCTGTTTGGATTCCTACAGTAAACTCTACTGATAGACACTACGCTTCCACTATCAGCCAATCTCGCCAATCTCCTTGTTTTTTCATTAAAAACCACCAATGCAGCTAAATGAAGGTTTGTATGTGGGTAGAGTGGGTGCCCTAGAGGGAACAAAAGCAGCAAACAAAAAAAAACAAGAAAACAGAAAACGGGAAGCGAACCGTAAGTCGGCAGTGGTGACTCTATCATATCAGCCTTCAATAGTAGCAACTATACGTGGACTGGGGCAATCGTGGCGCTAGAGATAATAGCCGAAGGCGCTTCGAAAATTCCCCATCTTAAAAACCCGAATTTCAGGTTCTTGTATCGATGAAGCACCCGGCTGCGGCTTGGACAACGCATTCATTTGTCAGAGTAAAAATCTGGAGACTTTTGCAAAAGTGAGTGGACCTAAGCGAAATAAACACTTAGACATCAAGTTGTCAAAACATTCATCGTCTCATATATTCCCTGAAAAATACTTTTAAAGAAATATTGTAAGAAGACGTGTGGATACTGCAACGACGCAACAACCACATCTCCAGGTCAACCATTCAATCGAGTGACACCAGGTACATGGATTTTTTTTATTCGATGGATTTTCCAGTCTACCATCAGATCGTATGAAGGTGGTCCTTCCAGTAAACCCTTTCTTCAAAGATTGTCTTCCAATCGTGATGAAGGCACTCGAGTAGAAACTTGCGCACCAAAAAATTGCCTTTCTATAAGAGTACGAGGCGGAACAGATTCTGGGCTTTTCGAAAGGGAAGAGTTCGTTCTGCAGGAGGAATTCGGGCAGGATGACAGTGGAGCAAATTTTGACGACCTTGATATTTCCACTCATGTGACATTGAATTTAACATGGAAATACATAGTGATACGACCCCTTTCTTACTTCATGCCATGCTTATTATGGGGAGCACAGTCAGGTTTCCAGCTGTCCTGAGCTAGCCATAGTGCAGGGCTTATTATGGAGCCGAATTCTGACTCAGCAGTGATAATTTGCGAAAATTGCTCTCAGCGGTTCAACCGCTGAGTGGTGATCTTTCCAATTTTTGTGAGTCCTGAAAATTTGATTTCTCTTGCGAATGGTAAGGCGTCGCATTTATAAGTAATCCTGAACCAACAAACAGATAGTAAACCATAGCCTTGTTTCAGGTGTTGGATGTGGAACGAATCCGAAGTAAGCCTTCTGGGTTATTGCATACAGAACTCAGGTTTCATTTATTATATCACACATGTTGATTTAAAAGAAACTCGTAATGTATTGATGTATGTCCTTATTCGGGCGCTTTGATAGCGCTGATGAGTTAGAAAAAAATTCGTCGGAATAACAAGGGAAAAGCTCAATTCTTCGTGAAATTCGCATGCGTTGTTTTCTAAACAGACTTAATCTTGATCAAGAAAACTTTGATTTACGATAAAATGCTTTATTTTTTTATTAATTTATTTTTAAACTACCACAGTCATTCGGTTTCCGATTTTTTCAGTTGCCAGAGCTGGGTTCGAAATGGATTTTGCACGAGTACATTTTATTCTGAAGCGCACAAAAGGCAGTACTGTGGACGAGCCTGTGGCCTCTGTTAGAGAAGAAGTTCTGCTTTTTGACTGTTTCCGATTGTGAACCTTCACATGTTGTGGATGTATATTTTGCAGTGTTTTAAAGTCATGTATATTTTTAGTATGCGATTAAGTGGAAGTCTAAAACCCTTCATAGTTATCCTTTCTCGTTAGTAACTTCTATCCAGAACCACAATGGCAATCAAAAAATATCTGATATTTTGAATAAATTGTATTTCCAGTCTGTGTACTAGTCATCACTCAGTCTTTTATTCCTCAAAACTGTCTGTTATTGAACAACCGACGCCAGGATGCAAGGTGAGATTGCTGGCTCTACTCTCCTGAATGTGAAGCGTCGGCTATTCAAAAAAGAAAGGTGTTGAGGGAACACACTAACATCAGAAAGGAAATAGCAAGAGCAGAAGCTTACCGCGGGCTGGACACCATCCACATCCTCAGATCTTAGAGAGCATCGTTTTGAATAGTCAATTTCAGAAGTATCTCATAGCAACATAAAGTGGCTATGGCCGACTGCCATTTTTCTCATCAGTACTCGATTCTGAAACTTACAACTTGATTACTTCAGTTACTGAATCAGCACGACCAATAATTCGAACAAAGGTGTATAGTGAAATGAAGGAGCCAAAAAATGAAGCATTCTCAGCTCAGTTATGAAAAACTAAAAAAGCCTCAGCTCGGGTAGGAAGAATGCAGTATAGGGGTAAGAAACCAAACGCTTCGATTCCAACCTTCTCACTGGCTGTGAAGCCAGGGTCTACCTCTAAATCTTCAAGTACCCACCACCTAAGGAACTGTTCAAAAAAGCGATGCATTCTCGTAGAGAGCTCTATGATGGCGGATCTACACAGAAAAGCTCTGAAAAAACGACATCGAGCTCGGCTTCAGCATAGTAGAGGTTTGAGTGGCGATCATCTTTTTTGAGCTCAATTTCATCCGAGTCCGGTGATACTGTCTGTGCTGGTATTATTCTTACAGATACAGAATACTCAAACATATCACTAGACTTCACGTTCACTTAGTAGAATTCTCCAACACGTGTGTACTTTCTCAAAGAGAGAAGCTTCAATAAGAAAAAAATTAGGACGTTGGAATACTTATGCAGAAAAGAAAAATCCTCCCAGATGTTCACATGAGTGCTTGCGGCTAAAGAGGGCAGTGTTCATTTGAGCTTGCGCTTTTGCTGCCTAAAAAGCCCTATCATTCCCATTCACCAATGCCTCACCAATGCTCACGTTCGTTCAACGTTCATCGATGTTTTGAAGTAAATAATAACTTCGTCAAGAGTATTCCCACATTCAACAACTACCTACGAGCCTCGACATAACTGCTCCATTACTGAGCTGTTTTATTGATTTTTTCATGAGCAGCTGTTTTATTGAATTTTTCACAAGCTACGGATAATGTTTTTAAAATAACTGCGTGCCCAGGGTTCCTGGATGGCGGTGAGATCGGATAGTCACGAATTCTTGCAATTCATTCAGGTTCTATAGGGCTTTTAGAGGTTTAGGCGAATCCACACAGACGTCAGCCTGAATGAGATTGATACAAACTTCGTGAAGGGTTTGAGAAAGCAATTCAGCAATACTATCCCCACAGTTCAACTTGCAACAGGAAAGGAGCCGAGGCGCATCTCGGAGAAGAGTGCTAAAGCAGGTGGAAAAGATTATGAACCTGATCTGTACACCATGATCTAGACATTCTTTTGATGCTTTTGTCTATACAGTGCAAACAGTCTCACAAAGATTTATTTTTACTGTTGCCATTGTAGTGTTGTGAAAAAAGAATGAGCTAATTGCACTGATTGTGCAAGCTTTCTACTTTTTCGATCTTATTGGAATGAAAGGGTCTGAATAATATAAAAGCTCACTACCGACGAATTTGTCACATTGCATTCCCACCTTTGGCGACTAATCCATTTGCTTCATACTAAAAATTTCAGCAGTATTCATGCTCCTTTTCCTGATATTCTCGTCAGCCCTCATAGGCGGCTCAGAGGCCGGTATCACGGATCTGAACTGTACAGAAATGGTTGGTGGCTCTGCCAAGGTATGTAAGTGCACGTAGTTTCATCAGCTTGTCTGATGAGTTATCTGATGACTTGCCGGGTCAACTTCTAGAAGCGGCAGGTAGGGAAATTATACACAGCGGTCAGCACCATATTATCGCGTTCAAATTTGTGGACTAGAAATTGCAAAGGAACAGATCTTTTTGTGAATCAGCGAGGAAGATAGTATAGTAAAGGATCGTAAGGGATGTAAGTCTCCCTCCTCCTCTCGCTACCTTTGACTTCAAAGGGCTTGGGCTAGGCGTAGGGATGAACACTGAAGAGACGTCTAGAGAAATGGGTTGGACCAAATTAGACTTCCATCAAGGCTATGCATGACCACAGTGGTCCCCTGTCCCGTTGTTCTCGCGAACTTGAGCGTGAGCGCTGAGGGAGGACCTTATCAGGGTACTATAGAACCGATTTCATAAACCCTAGAACTCGAATCAGTAATGGCTTTCGGTTGCACGTCCATTTGAGGCTGCTTTCACGATGATTGCGTTTTAGTCTACTTACAAAATTAGGTGACTGGTAAATCTTGAACAACTTCTCATTCCATAGAAGAGTATTCAGTATATTGTTACCACGTTCCAACTGACAACCTTTTAGTATGCTCAATCGGCGGTAAACTGCAATAACAAAATATCCGACGCCGCTTGCCTTGTCATCTATACGACAGCTGTGAAAGCGAATGACGATACCGATCGAAATGAAAAGTGTGATGGAAATCCAGTAGTACGTGATCAGGCAACAATATGGATAAGATTTTATATTTGCATCCTTCTATTACATACTAACTACAAATGGGGCTTTCCTTCGTTTCGCTAACCACATCCGTAACGCTCGGGTTTTTGGAGCACTAATACTCTCATGAAAAATAGGGACTCAGAAGGAAACTCATTCTCGTGCTTTCCAAACACTTTACCCTTCACACGATTCCTGTCGGCATGTCAGGCAGCACGGCAGCATGTATGTAAGAAAGCTCGAGACCTATCAATACCTAGCTTTTTGGTTGACAATAGGGTTAACTGATCCAGGTTCTGAGACCATAATTTTGATGCTAGGCGTTCCGCCCATAGCTTTGCGAGCTTGTAACGACTTTCACTTTAGAAGCTGAAATATTTTAAAGGCACCGCTAGCAAAAAATGTAGTTTACCCTTTTTTGACGGGAATTGATAGAACTACTCTAGAATAAAGCGATGACAGCGAAAGAACCGCAAAAAAAGACAAACAAAAAGAATTACAAAGG